ATAAAACATTAAAAAAAAAAAAAAGAAATCCTAGCTTTCTGCATAACGTATAAACATCTGGAATCACTATGTTGTATACCTGAAACTAGTGTAACATGGTGTGTTAACTGTACTTGAATTAAATATAATAAAAATAAAATTTTAAAAATAAAACAAAAATTGTCATTTGTTATGAGTTCTCTTATCATTCCAAATAATCCCAGCTCTCTATACGAAGTCAGAATCCAGGTCTTACCCACTCTCAAGTTGAACACACATTGATTTAAAATAGTATTTCTAGGGGCACCTGGGGGGCTCAGTCGCTTAAGCGTCTGGCTCTTGATTTCAGCTCAGGTCATGATCTCAAGGTTCATGGGTTTGAGAATCCACATGGGGATTCTCTCTCTATCCCTATCTCTGTCCCTCCACCCCCAAAACAAACAAACAAACAAACAAAAAGCTCACTAGGAATAATAAGGGTTTTGAATTAAGGGAATAAGTAGTTTTGTAAAAAAATAAAATGGATGGTTTGCAGAGGTGGCAGAGGGTTCAAAACTCTATGCTGCCTGAACAAGAACGAGAGAGAATACAGGAGGAGACGCAGATCTGGGCAATAAAGATACACATTCATCCACAGACACGCTGGAACTGAGGCAAAGGAAAAATACAAGGAATATACGGCGTCCTGGAAGGCCGGTAGAAACCCTGAAACGGAATGAACGGTACTGCCAGGGAGGAGGCATAGACCAGAAGCTTCGTGACTCTGGGCAGAGCCTGAGTCACAGTCGCATGTGAAGGGCAAGCAGGGAAGATGGAATCCAGCAAAGGAATGTCACAGGCAGAAGTGCCAGAAGAGATGGTGTTCCATGAATCAAGTAAGGAGGAGAGTCACGCAACACATGAGTGGTCAACAGGACTCTAATTTTATCTTTGCAGAGAGGAGGCGAGTAACCGTGTGGATGTGAGACACAGTCGCTTACAAAGTCCAGGAGTACGCTTTCTAAAAGGAGTTACCGCGTGCCATTTTGCCTCTTGCCTTAAGAAGACCTTCAAAGAGATAACTTATAAAACAACAGCACAGTCATAGCCCAGATAATGAGCCTACCCCGGGCTGGCATTCCAACGAGAGAGAGACGGGAGTTGTACTAACAGACCAGGGCCGCCCTATTGCTAAGGTCTATTTCACTTCGATTTTTAGATCATGCTGACAAATAAAATAAACCAACTTTCAGGTGGCCATTGGCAGGCTGTCTTCAATTCCTGTTAATTCAAGTAAAATCAAGGAGGGGCTGGGGGAGAAAACACACTTAACCACCAGATCTGGATTCCCAAACCCAAGCTGTCTAATTGATTTTATTAGTAAGTTAGGAAGCGCTCTGTTTCATGTTCGCTAGTTGTGAGTGCTACCATCACGCTCTACCAGTTGAGCATTTATGAAGTCCTGGGTAAAGGTCCAGAAAGTGCTGTAAAGGCCTGGAAGGGTCCCAGTCACGTGTGCTCAGTATTAGCTTTAATATCAAAGAGGAGGAATGTTCCCGGTTTGCCTTGATGGAACTCTACTGGGAAGATATAAATAAGAGCCCATATCAACATCAGCTTTTAGAATTTTCAGTCAAAATCTCTACCTTTGTTGTCCCTACCTGCCAGAAACTGCTCGGCTCTTAGCAGGTTTAGTAAAAACAGACTGGCATTTTGGAATATTCTAATATTCCATGTTTCCATTTAAATTCCTTGGAAACAAAGAAAAAAACCCTATACGTTGGATCACTGAAAATAATATCATTTAAAACTAAATTTTATTCTAAATTAAAACCTACAAAAGAAGGTATTTCTTTCCAAATGTATCAGTCAGTGCTATAAGAGGCAGACAAAAAGATCCAGAGCTTGGTTGAGACACGAAATTTGTAATTTATAGAAGTCCTACGGTTAGAGTTATCAAGCTCATCTAAACAAATGTAAATACCATCTTTGCACTGAGCCACCACTGGAAATCTGTCCCAGACCTCTGTACATAGTTTGAGGACTGCTCACTTTAGGACCCCGTGTAGCCATGGTTATTTCTCTGCTGGAAGGGACCTTTACCCGACTAGTGAGACATGGTCGCTGTAGGAGAGTTCGCTGGTACGGCGTCTTCCCCCCTAATCCCAGCCCGTGGTGCCAGTTAGCAACATCTTGATGCATACCAAGATTTGATTTGTAAATTGTAGACTGAAATCTGAATCAGTTCTGTAGAACAAAAAAGCAAACCTCTGTAAGACCTATTCGCTGAACGGCATGTGGTGCATCGTTATGAGAATCAGATTTGCAAACCTGGAGCCGACACAACCTGAGGCAGCCAGCGACTGCGGTCAGAGCGAATCCCCTAGTTATCATGCGGGAGGCAGTGGAAGGGGGTTCAGGGGAGAGCAGCAGCCCAGTCATGAGGTCATTCAAAACAGACAGGGGCAAGCAAGTTTCTAGAAGGATGTACTCTTTAAACGCCATGGATGTTGACCATAATTTCATCTCAAGTCTATAATTTACCCAAATTGGTCTGTTTTGATGGGACTTAAGATTCTGCACAAGCTTCTTGTTTGCAGTAAAGATCTTCAAGGGGCACCTGGGCGGCTCAGTCAGTTAAGTGTTCAACTCTTGATTTCAGCTCAGGTGGTGATCTCAGGGTTGTGTGAGCCCACACCCCACATTGGGCTCCGTGTGCTGATTGGGCTGAAACTGCCTTGGATTTTCTCTCTCTCTCTCTCTCTCTCTCTCTCTCCCCCTCCTCGATTCACACTTTCTTGTCTCTCTCTCAAAATAAGTAAACTTAAAAAATTTTTTAAAAGATTTTCAAATATTTTATTCCTATGGGCAAGTTTTAAAAAGTGGTAGAAAAGTTGCTCATTGCTAATGACTGAACATGTGCCTTCTCCCCAAATTCATGCTGTAATCTTGATCTTCAAGGTGACGATATTTGGAGGTGGGGCTTTGGAGAGGTCATTAGGCCATGAGGGTGGAGCCCTCATAAATGGGATTAGCACTTTTTTCAAGAGACATGAGAGATGATCTATTTCCAGCATGTGAGGACACAGCAAGGAGACGGTCATCTACGAAGACTGAATGAGGAAGAGGGCTCTCACCAGGAAACAAATTGGTGAGCACCTTGATCTTGAACTTCCAGCCTCCAGAAGAGTGAGAAGTAGATTCGTGGTTTAAGCCCCCCACTTTTCCCCCATCTACAGTATTTTGTTATAGCAGCCTGAACTAAGACACCAGACAAAATTAACAGACAAGGAGAATGCCCTTAGAAATTCACTACAAGTCATCATAGACACAGGGAAGCAAATCCACCTTCTTATGGCCTGGGTTGTGGGAAGGTCAGAGTCCTCAGGCTGAGGCCCCAGGCTGCTCTGGACTGACCAGCCTCATCTCCCTTCACCATCTCCACCCCCGGGTACTGCTAAGGGACTCACAGCTTCCTAGAATTCCAAGATGACTCTATTCTCCATGGCACCAACCAGAACACTTAGGAAAGAAAACTAGAGAAACTTTTGGAAAGGTCCAGTTCACTCATTCCTCAACCTACCACACATCAGACTCTCTGGTGGGGTATTAGGATAAAAATGGCAAAAACCAAGATCTGATTTATTCTTATGCTCTAATGAGCAAGACACACAGTGCAATGATAATTCTCTGTCTTCTCTTAAAACACATCACAGGCTTGAGCGCCCAGTCCCTCGGGCTACCACATCAACCCTCGTCCAAGCCTTATTCGGCATGGATGTTCCACCTAACTTCTTCTGAACTCTTCCCTCAGACTCATCAAGGATGGCCACCTAACTCCCTTCCCGCTCCTGACCACAGAGGCACTCACGGCCTCCTTTGTCAATCCCACAGTCACATCCCTGTCCTTACCTGAGAACACAGGGGCTCCCCCCGGCTGACCCCTCTTGTACCTTTGCTACTTCCCTCCTCCTGCAAGTCCAGGTCTTTCTCCTTAGTCAGCTCTCAGCTTAAACGTCATCTTCTGGGAGAGCCCCTTGTTACTCACTAGCCCACAGCTCTATTCATGTCCACTCCATAAGCCTGTCACCCTGTCATTCCCCTCAGTGGCTGGATGATGATATGTTGTCCCCAAGAGAGCAAGAAATTTCCATCTGTTCATCATCTGACTCATTAGGGCTCATATGAATGAAAAAATAGTAAAAATTCAATGTTGGTGACTTTTTGAATAAAATCAACCCATAGATGGGTATGAGATATTATAAACAACAAAAGCAATGGAAAGTGTGTTCTGTGAGAAAGCGGTCATTAGACAGGGCACTGGAGGGTGTAAGGATGGAGATGGGCTCCATGGTGAGGGGACTCTGCACAGGACAACCTGAAGGCAAGGAAAAGCTGAACAGGTGTGCAATCTGAGACATGGTCACTGAGGCTGGTCTCAAGCAGCCTCCTCTGTGCCAGAAACCAAGGCGGGACCTGCCTCTAGTACGCTAGTTACCTTGGAAGCTAGACATGGCTAGCTGTCATCGATAATTTGATAAATAGTGTTGCCAGCTTTTCTTCAAAGTATTTTGTTGTTTATGCCTCCAAACATATTCTTCAAAAGTCTTCTATCTACATCCTACACCAGGAATATCTTGCAAGCACTGTTTGAATCAATTGAAAATCATTATGGCAATCCCAGGATAATACTGCGCCCAACTATGCCCTCCAATTCCATTGTCTCCAACTATGCAAATGCAAATGCTCTTTCCGAGAAAAGGCTTATTTTAGGAGTAGTTAAGAAATGATAGTTATGAAATCAGGCATTGTCTTCCCAACTAAAATTATGACCAATGATTAGTGTAAAAAGGGAGTGAAATTAAGTTTCCTATGAGAAACACAGAGGATGACAAAGATGAGGTTGCTTCATGGGTTTTTCTGGGAGAGGAAAGATGACCGACTCGCAGCTTCACATAGAAATCACATATTTAGGGTTTAAAACATGAAAGCAGAAGATGGTAGGTAAGAAACTGCTCAGAGGAGGTGCCGAATCCTACCTGTGGCCAGATAGATGATGTGGACAAGCATGTCCCTGCCCTGCACCACGTCGACGGCCACGTGGGAAAAGCGGCTGTTGTCTTCCATGAAAGAGGGCACCGAGGTCACGGGCTGGACCACCTCGTGCATCAGGATGAACTTCTGAGCATCCTGCAGGTTCCTTTCCGTCAGGTTCATGTACAGGCCCTGGTCCACTGTGCCACACTGGAAGGGAAAACAGGCCATTACGGGACTGGCCATGTGGACACGCATAGTGATCTTGGCCACGCCGGCAGGAGGGGGACTTGGAAGGTTAAGAACTTCTGTGTGCAAACATGTGCGCTTCCCTGCTCTCCCCAAGGTCCCAGTCCCCAGTATCCTTCCCCTTCTAGATTTGAACTCATCACATCCAAAAAGTCTTTCAACTCCATTACAGAAAGATACGACCAGATGTTAAAAATCAATCCAGTAGAAACCTGTGCTGATTTCAATTTGAAAACACATATGAAAGACAACTCCTCATCACCTGTTGAAGTTCCACAGAAGCCGTCTGGCCAAGTGCACACTATTACATCTGTCCGATAAGTCAGGTTGAAAAATTGAAACTGCAGCACTCAAGAACATCATAGTGATCTATTATTACCCCTACTGGAATGGTGGGTCTATAAGCAAGATATGGATTCCATAGAGATGGAATTAGGCCATTTTAATCTGTAAATTATATAATATTATTCCAGTATATTTCATATGGGTACAAGGCACCGGTGGCTCCATTGCTTTGTGCTCATTCTCTAAGCCAGAGGAAGGGAGGAAGGGAGAGGGGGACAGAAGAGGGTAAAGGAAGAAAACAGGAAGAAGAAGAAGGGGAGGAAAGAGATGTTCAGGCAGAGCAGCCACCATGAAGATGGGTTTGGTATATGAAAGGAGGGGAAAAATCTGGCCTGGCAATTGCTGAGAAGGAAATCCAGAGCCGTGCGGTAGAGAGATGGGCAGGTACTGAGAAGGATGACTTTTGGCAAGGATAAGGTAGAAAGTGGGGTAGGAAAGAGAAAAGCTTTCATGGGGAAGAGCACACAACCAGAGAATCCCCACCGATCTTTCTCAGCTCTTTCATAAGCTTGAATCCTGGGGTCAACAAAGGAACTTCCCGTAAGCAACTTTGATGGAAATGAACTTCCCTGTCTATCCCATCCGAGACTGCTGTTTGTAACATGACATTTCTAATACTTGTTAAAGGGGCAAAAGTGTAAGATGGAAATGGCTTTTTAAAAATAGATGATATTTCTTGTAGCACTTGATAAAATGCCCTACGTGCTTTAAAATGATAGGCTGGTTGTAAAATTAGAGAGTATCAGAGAGAAATGGATTTCGAGTCTTGTCCAGTGCATAACACCACATTTCCTTGAGGGAAAGCCCATATACAAGGCGATGGGTCCACAGTGATGGGGTCACGGTCAGGTGAAGGGCTCCACTCTGCCACCCCGGGAGCCATGCAGTCTCGGGTAAGATGCTACTTCTCTGCCTCTGTCTCTGCCTATGAAGTCACTGCAAAAACACTCCACTCAATTCACAAGGGCAGTTGTGAGGCCAACTGAGATCATCAGTGGAAGGCATTTGTAAATTAATTGAAGGCGCTTGTAAATGCCAAGGAACAAAACAGTGTGCCTGGCACAGAGAAGCCATTCAACCAATGGTAAATTTGTCTTGTAGCAGGACGGCGATTCTATGGTCCACTGAGTTTCAGTGGCCAGAGGGAAACGCATGAATAAATAAAGGAAGGAATCAATGGGTGAATACATAGGCAGCTGCTAGTGGGGCAGGGGGCTGTGCTAGGAGATTCCACATAGCCATCATACTTAACAGTAGCACTTACAGAACAGGGACATTGCCTGTTAACAAATGTGTTACAAAGCAAAAGCGCTCTCCCAGCCTCGGTCTGAGGTCTGCCCAGGTGTGCTCTGGTTCCAAGAATGACTCTATGTTTGCCAGATTGCTTTTCCTGAAGTCAATGCCACTGCTGACACACAGGTGGCACTTAGCTATCTACTTGTTGGGTGAAGTTTTACACAGGTTTTGTGTCATATGTGCAGTGTTGATTTGTGTTTTAAATGCATCGCAGAAATCAGGAGTCATAACACAAAACTGAGGACCTCGTGCTGCCCCTGAGGAATCTGTAGAGGTCTGCGAGACCCAGAGGAGACCTCTGTGGACTAGAGCTTATCATTTCTTTACCCCGGACCCCATATATTAAGTCATCAACCTGAAGTGCCATTGTGATATTGTGACCTGTAAGAAATACATATTTGGTCTTTGTCATCTTTCCAACACAGAGCTCCCTAACGAGGCAACTCTGGGCCAGCTGGCTGGACACCCAATCACATAATTAGGTAGGGTGGGGAACTTTCAGCCCACCCCTGACCTCCAGGGAGGGGAGAGGGGATCGAGATGGAGTTTAATCACCATTATCCAACGATTGAATCAATCTTGCCTATGTAATGAAGCCTCTATAAAACCCCAAAAGGTACAGGGTTCAGATGGTTTCTAGTGGGTGAAGATGCGGAGGTTTAGGGCTCAGAGAGGGCATGGTGTGGAGTAGCTCTGCTCCTTGACCCAGACCTTGCCCAGGGCATCACTTGCAGCTGGAGGCTCCAGAGTTAGATCTTTTTAAATAAACCAGTAATCTAGTAAGTAAAATGGTTCTCTGAGTTCTGTGAGTCCCACTAGCAAAGTAATTGACACTGGGGTAAAGATCATTGGAACTTTCTATTGATAACCAATGGTTCAGAAGCACAGGTGAGGAATCAGACTTCAGATCAGTGCCTGAAATGGCGAGGGGGTGGGCAGGAAGCTTGTAGAACTGATCCTTGCACCTGTGAGATCTGATGCTCTCTTCTGGTAAAAAGTGTCAGAGTGAGTTGAATGGTAGGATGCCCAGATGGTGCTGGGAAATTACTGAACGGTACGGGAAAAACTCCTACACATAGGAATTGGGTAACACAATCGTTGGCCAAGAACTAATTTTGAACTATACTTTATAATGTCTTAGTTTATTTTTCTAGCCTATAATAAATATCCCACCCAAGGATGCTTTTTCATATTTTGAAAGCTATTTAGATTTACGGCTTATATATTGGATCGTAAGTAACCCACCTAGCTCTCTAATGCACTGCAAATTCTCGGGCTGTGCCTTGACACTGGGTTCCCACACATGTCTGCATGACACCTTGGGGACTCTGTGCAAGAGGGAAACAAGACAAATGTCCCTGTCCTCAAGTGGGTTACAAAACACAATGGTTGCCTTGCTAACACTTCTGAAAGTAATAAAGGTAGGTATTCTACTAATTTTGTAATGCTAGAATACTTGCATTTTTGTTTGCACCAGAGACAAAAGTCCCATCCTCTCTCCAGTTTGCTGGAGCTTCATGTGGGTCTGCGACCACCCAGCCTCGTGCTCAGGGCACCCGGTCTTATTGACCCTCCTCCTCCCATCTTGCTGCAAATGTGCACTGTGCATTGACCCCTTCATTTGACCCAACAATGGCCTCCTCATCTGTCTGACCACTTAAGGGTCTGCTTTCCATTTTGTCTCCATCATTTCTGATTGGTGGTTGTCAAAACTGCACAGAAAATTCCAGAGTCTGTCCACTGGATGGTGTTTCCTGTGACTGACCAATGCTTTTCCTTGTGAAGTTCAGGGCCAGGATGACTTGGACTGCAGGCTCTAATGTGGGTAAGGCTTTCATAGAGCTATTTAGAGTGGTTTCTAGATGGCAACTGATAAAAATGCTATTTTGTGCTGTTTGGTTATTGTCCTCAATTGAGAATTCTGTATTAAATCTTCCAAAGTGATGCACTGCCCTTCCTATCTCATTCTTCTTCCTGAATCTGAGTCATATTTTGGCCCCTCTAACTTGCTAGTTCTCATTATAAATGCTGCATAAAAGTCCAAATGTCGCTAGGCAAACAAGAATAGAAAAAATGGAACCACTTCTTACTGTTGGTTACTGCAAACATAAGGCCCTATATACATGACTAGTGCAGGGATCCTTCATTCAAAACATATTCCTACCCCGTTCTAGCTAAGTGCTCTCATGAGTGTCAGTAAGGACGCCTATGTGAGCATGGCCATCAAATAGGGTAAACCAGAAGAAAATTTTGGTACAATTGGTACAATTTTGTTCAGAAATTACACAAGGAATCGTCATCATCTAAAATTTTAGTTCCCTGTCAATATTAAATTCTACCCAAACAAGTTAAGCCCAGCTAAGCAAGCTTCTTGCCTGAAACGAATGCCACATTTGTGCCAGCTTCATGCATTACAGGGCATGAACCTACTCTCAGCTCATCAACGTGAGTAAGCCTTTGGGTGTGACACTGGCATTATAAAACCAGATGCCCGTAGCCTTAGGAAATGAGAGATTTTGCTGTGTGCTACAAATATATTCAGATAAAGGGGCTAAAAGTTATCTACTGCCCAGAGGTGGGAAGGCATCATGGGTTTATTAAGTCACTGTTCATTGTGAAGACTTTTGCAATAGAAACATCAAGGCATTAAAAGTGCACTATAAATATAGGGATAAAATAAGAAATAGATTATCTTCATTAATTGTGTTTAACACTCAGGACTTTACAAAGACTCTTCTTAAGGGGAATGATATAGTCCACCTTCAGGATTTGATGGAAGGCCTTCTTAAACAGTTATGCTGTACCCCATCATCTGAGGACAGGAGGAAATTCAGAGGCAGAGACTCAACAAAGGGGCAAAGAGTAAGTGTTTAGTTAATAATGACATAAACCGTCTATGCCATGAGGGGCCTTGGCTAATTCAGGTTTGTTCCCACTAAGCTGTTAGCTGGCTTGACCTGTAATATGAATCTCTTTGTACTGAACTGGTACTGAACTTTCACAGTAGCAGGGCTGGGGTAATCAATATAAATCTGATCACTCAGCTTCCTGACTTCTAAAGTGGGGTTAACGATGCCTACCTTACAGAGCTGGGGAGGAGATAGCAAGGCAGGTACATAAAGCTTTAACACAATGTGGGACATCTGGAAGGCACCCAATAAACAGTCCCTTAGAGTCGTCTTCTCCAAATACATTCTACAGTCAGCAGGCACATTAATCAATATTATCCAAGTTTACTCCTGAAGCATTCCTGTGCCTTTGTATCCCACTTTCCTCATCTTATTGGTGAGAATGAGAGATGAAAGATGCCGATGGAATGTCCCAGTAAAGCAGCAAATGGTAAAGAGGTTGTAAAAAAACACCCTCTGTACCCAATCCCATGCTCTTAAATTACCAAAAATTTAATTTAAAAAATTCTTTCAAAACAATTAGAATTGAACGGTCCCTACCAAAGTCCAAGGAGAGCATAAAATAATTGAACCCTTTCTATACTCCCAGTTTTCTCAAAAGCCAGAAGTTTTAGGTGCTGGGATGATAAACGAGCCAGAACTTGGAAGCCTGGGTACAGAACCCAGTTCTGACACTGATTAGTTGCGGTAACTAATGGTCTTTTGGCCAGAAGAGGTTGGGGCTTTGCATCTGAAGACTGGGGTTGAGATCCCAGCTCAGCTACCGATCAGCCAGTATCCTTGGACTGATTCTCAGCACTGAGGCTCAGCGCCCCTCTGTCTGTGGGAGAATTGTTACTGATCACAGCACCGTTGCCGGCATGCAACATGAGGAGAACAGAGACTTGAACGTGGTGGTACTAAAAATTACAAGCACGATGATGACGATGATGATTTTATGAGCTTCCTTGTCAGAAGGGAGGCCCTCAAGGGAAGTCTGCTGCTGTTGTCTGTATGTTTGTGTCTCCCCCAGATGCATATGTTGAACCCCCAACCCTCAAGGTGGCTGTCTGTGGAGACGGGGTCTGTAAGGAAGTAATTAAGGTTAAATGGGTTCACACAGGTGGGTTCTTTTTTTTTTTAATTCTTTTTTTTTTTGTAATGTTTTATTTATTTCTAGGAGAGAGAGAGAGAGAATGAGCAGGGGAGGGTCAGAGAGAGAGGGAGTCACAGACTGAAACAGGCTCCAGGCTCTGAGCTGGCAGTCAGCACAAAGCCCAACGTGGGGCTCAAACCCACGAACCACGAGATCATGACCTAAGCGAAAGTCGGACGCTTAACCGACTAAGCCACCCAGGCGCCCCCACACAGGTGGGTTCTTGATCCCATAGGATTAGGGTCTTTCCCTGGTCACTGAGGAAAGGCTATGTGAGGACAAAGTGAGAAGGTGGCCATTTTTAAGAGAAGAAGAGATTCACCAGAAACTGAACTGGATAGAACCTTGATCTTGGACTTCCAACCTCCAGAACTGTGACAAAATAAATGTCCGTCGTTCAAGCCGCCCAGTCGGTGGTATTTTGTTATGGCGGCCAGAGCGGACTACCACACCTGCTGATGGACCAGACATGAGGAAATCGCATTTCTTTGGGTCCCAGCTTCTTCTGAACGTTGGAAGATGAGAGTAAATGACATGCAGAGCCCCTTATAGCTCAAACATCCTGTAATTTCGTGATTCATAAGCTAATGGCCACCATCTGCTCGGCTCTCGCCCCAGCTGCACCATCACGCCCCACCCACCCCGACAGGAAATCTCCCCACGTTCACCAATTAGTGCCCTAATTCTGTTTGTGCATCTCCACTGCCCTGTGCCCTGGGCTCCATTCACTACGGCATCATTCATTAGGGATCAGAGCTTCTGGGGACACAGAGTCCGCCATCATTAGCACTAATTGAAGCTTGGGTTCCCAGCCTGCTGCTTTATTCTGGCCTCTTTCAGTTCAGCCTCGGGTGTCCCAGCTGACAAAAGGCCCCCTTTCAGCCCAGGCACCTCAGCTGACAAAAGGCCTTGCCATGTTCCATGAGTCAGGCTGAGTGTGGGCACGTCCAGGAGGGTCAGGGGAGGCCCCAGCTGCGCTGTGCGTGCACTGGACTTTACACCATTGACACAAGACTGCGTTTTCCAGAGGAAGGAGTGCCCGTTACCCCCCTGAAATTACCTGGAAGTTGGGGTTGGGGTTGGGATACGGTAGCCAGGTGGAGCGCGAGTTCTCCTGGTACTTGAAGGGCCCGTTGAAGGCCTGGGAGATGGCGCTCAGGTTGAAGACGCACACGGCCGAGGCAGCGATGCTGTTCCTGGGGGGAGGAAGGACAAGGAAGAGAGAGGAGGGGAGGAAGGTCAGAGAGCCCCGCGGGGACCCCACGCAGCGCAGGCACCTTCCCCAAAACCTCAGGATCACAGTCCTAAGTCCCCCCAGGGATGAAGTTGAATCAGTGACTGGTGTGCCTCTGTGGCTTCCTTTGGGGGAGAACAAACACTTGAGTGTAGAAGCAAGACAATTTAGCAGTGATGACACTTCTAATCCTGCCAGATGGGATTAATTCGCTCAGCCACAACAAGAGGACAGAGGGTTGTGAAGAGTTGTATGTTAGGCCTCTTAAATTTGGGAGGAGAAAGATGCTCCCCTTCAGAGGCTGGAGCCTCTCAATGGTCCGGGGGGCTCTCGACCTAATTGTTTATCGGGTTCCTTTAGATGGCGGTGGGGCAAACTTTGGTGAATTCTCTCTCTCTTTTTTCAATCTCCAGAGAGTTGTGCTTATTTGTAAGCCTTTCAAACATAATCAACTAAAAGCATTTCGCAAAAAGTCCCTGTCAGAGATCCTTCATTTATATATACATTTTTAATTTAAAAAGCATTTTAAATCCAAAGGTTCAGGGAGAAAAATTTGACATAGCACTGTCATAGGAAATCTTGAAACCTTAAATCAGAGTTCAGGCTCTGCAGAGACAGCTGTAAATGAGAGGTTCTCAGGAGTTCAGTGGACTTGTGCTAACTGTGGAAACAGCAAAATATGGCCTGGTTACATAAATCTGCTTTTTTGACCACAGCTCTGGTTTTTGTTATCTGTGAGCCCCCATTTTTAGACACCCGGGAACACAAAGGTAAGACCTTCAGAGACTCCACACGGTAGTAAGCACACCATTTCCTGCTGCCCAGCTCATAGCCAAGGGTGTGAGAAAACCACACAGTCCAATGGCAGAATGGGTGAAGAGAGTGATCTTCATCGCCACTCCCCAGCGCTAAGAGACCTTGACAAATATACAGAGGCAAACCAAAACTATGAGCATAAACACCAGAGAACTTGGCCACAGTGTGATGTACTCATCCACTGCAGGGACACGTTATATAGCTGGCTGTCTCCCATCATCATGTTCTTTCAGTTTGGAGCACATCTTGTCAAGAATGTGGTCATCTGTCCAGAAGGTAAGATGCAGGCTGAGACACAAGAGGGAAGAGAGGTGGGGCATATTGTGGGATTAGATGGATAAGAAAGTTCTTCCCAAGACCTGATGAGACTAAGTGTTATAGAGAGAAAGGAAAGATCTAGTGATTCTATCTCTAATATAGATAGATGATAGGTAGGTAGGTAGGTAGGTAGGTAGGTAGGTAGATAGATAGATAGATAGATAGATAGATAGATAGATAGAGATGCTATATACAATCTGACATCCAATATGCTGGGCACTTGGAACACTAAACAAATCATCCGGAACAGTCTAAACCTTATTTTTGCAAGGTCTAAATTGACCATTCACCATTGGAATGGTTCAGATTCTTCTATAACTTTTTAAATTGTTCGTCTTTGCCCAGAGCCAGGGGAATGAACAGCTAAGTAAGCCCAGCTCCCATTGTGTGTAAAATTGATGTCAAGTCAGCAACCGAACATTCATCTTGTGCAGCCGACGCGATTTCTTAAACCAGGTTTTGGAAAGCAAATCAACTTCAGAAACTATAAATTGATTTTTTAAAAGAAACATATCAAGGAGGGAAAATAAGCTCTGGGGTTGAAAACCAGATTTACAATGAAGGTGGTCATGGCAGGTGGGGGTGGATGGGGAGCCATCCATTTCGGCCTTCTTCTAACTTCATGTCAGAAAGAGGGCTCTTCACGGAGTCAATGTGATTGTCAAGTGACTGGTAACACTAAAGATCATCAAGGGAAAGGACAGAGGGGAAATGTAACAGGGAAGGAAGGAACAGATGAAGTGATTCTCCAGCAATTCCTGGGTAGGCTTCTTCCATTCTCCCAGGACCGTGATGTTGCTCCGGGGTGCGGGGCTGCTCCAGATGCTGAAGCCAGACAATCCTGGACTGACCTGGATGGATGGCCATCCCATGTGCTTTCTCAGCACTTTCAACCTGCCCTGATTCCAACTCTCTCCACTCTGTTAGGTTGGCAGATTAGAGATTCAAAGATGGTCCAAGGCAGAGCCCACACCGCAGACCACCGTTACCCCTGACAAAAGGCAGCCCAGAGTCTGAGTATGAAAAGGTGATCTGTCATCCCTGGGGGCGGGTTGTGATCCTTCGAATCTTTCACCACACACCAGCAAAGAACGAGAAATAGGTGTGAGTCATGCTACACTCCACCTGAGTAAGAGTGAACGAAAGACCAGGAAACTTCCCATGCTCTTCCTTATCCAAAATTTCTGAGTTTTGGAGCTAGGAGTGTTTCTTCCCCACAACAAAAAACAAAAGATGTTATAGTTTTTTTCAAGCATATTTTTAAAGTACAACCATCATTTTAACAAAGCCTGACCAGGTTAGCCATCTCCTGGGACAACGGTTGAAAATACAGCTACGGCAAAGTGAGAATGTGCCTTTCACTTATGAGCAGAGGCGCGGGCATGAATTATACTACCTCAAAGATCAGACTTGGACAACACTGCCTTCAGTATGCACAAATGCATAACTTGCATATAGAAAAAAGATGCGTCTAATAGGTACCACCATTTCAGAGAGTGCCCAGAACACACTGGCGAATCAGGAAGGAGAAAATTATAATCGAATAACTTGATGCTACAATTACCTAAGGATAGACTGAAACTTTTTTGCTTCACTTTATTTCCCTACTACCAGCCTCAGAAATCACATTATCTTTGCGTAATATGTAATTCATACTCAAACATTCACTTGGCCGTTAGCCCAGTAACATAAGAAAGATTTCCTTTAAAGCCACTTTCCAACCTCAAAGGTCAAAGAACAGTAGACTCATGCGCAATGGACGGAGGGGCAGGGAAAGAGTTTTCTTCCAGTTACTTACACGTTAGTGGTAAAGATGCCATAGATCAGATCCAGCTCGGGCAGGAAGAAAGTGCTCTGCAGCTCATTGTAGTAAAAGGGAACCTCCCCGGGCCGGGAGCAGTTCAGGCGGGCCTTCATGAACGTGGTCCAGGTGTCCTCGAGCAGGAATCGTCCCCCGATGTCATTCTTGCAGACCCGGGCAGCTCTGGAGAACACGGTTTTCCCACAGTCGTGCTCCACGGCATTTTCTCGGAAAAAGAAGTAGGTGAAATTTCCAATGTCGTAAGATGACACGAAGTTCGGTTCTGGAGACAAGAAGGAAGAAGAAATGTGTGAGCATCCATATGGGATCTCTTCACATCTTACCTCTTTGGTAGTTCTCCCAAGGAGATATGGTTTTGTGCAGACACTGCCTGCCTCCTAAGGGACAAATGGAAGTCCTAGGAGTAGCTCGGTGACCTGAGTTAAAGGACAGAACTCTGCACACAAGTTCTCAGTGACAAGGAATCGCCCGTGTGATTCCACACGTAAGCATCCTGGATTAACACAGCACCCAAGTCACAGGACATTCATGCCATCAAAGATGGGTAGTGACATTTGCAGCAGACTTTTATTTTATTTTATTTTTTTTTAATATTTTTATTTATTTCTAGGAGAGAGAGAGAGAGACAGCGTGAGCAGGGGAGGGTCAGAGAGAGGGGGAGTCACAGACTCTGAAACAGCCTCCAGGCTCTGAGCTGGCAGTCAGCACAGAGCCCGATGCGGGGCTCGAACCCACGAACCGTGAGATCATGACCTAAGCAAAAGTCAGACGCTTAACCGACTAAGCCACCTAGGTGCCCCGTTGCAGCAGACTTTTAAAGCAACATATACTAGTTCATTTGTATATCTGTACATGCCCTTCAGAAAGAGTGGGAGAGGGGTGCCTGGGTGGCTCAGCATATTGAGCATTTGACTTTGGCTCAGGTTATGATCTCATGGTTCTTGGGTTCGAGCCCCGCATCGGGCTCTGTGCTGACTGCTCATAGCCTGGAGCCTGCTTTGGATTCTGTGTCTCTTTCGGTCTCTCTGTCCCTCTCCTGCTTGTGCTCTCTCTCACTTTCTCTCAAAAATAAATAAATGAATATTTTTAAAAAATTAAAGAGTGGGAGAAAATGAGATAAAAATATGCAATGTGACTCAGAATATAAGAACCTGGTACCATGTTTGTGTACAAGACAACAAAAGTCTTTGATCTTACTTGTATACATGAGTCTGACTGACATAATTTATGTGCTTTTCTAGCGAGGACTTTAAGATGGCTTTCATTTGTGAAAACTGAAATAAAAACTGAAACTATGAGCTTAGTGTCCTGAATTAGCTTTTGCAATCCCAGTTACTATGGTGACCATGTAACTGTGAGGATCGACTCTTATTTTCTTATTTCTGGGTTGCTGGGGAATCCATGCAGAAGAGGGGAGTGTGAAGAGATGGGGTCATTGCCTTCCAGCTTCCTGGTCTCATATTAGCTTAAAAATAGGGATTCAGAAAGGACAAAATTATAGCAAAACCTTTAGTCAATCACCAAGCTCGTTAAGAGTTTAAGAATTCTATAGTTTGTCAACTGACTTTCATATATACCATTCATAGTGTTATCTTCTTAGCTTCTTTTTTTTTTTATTTCTGAGAGAGAGAGAGAGAGAGAGCATGAGCAGGGGAGGGTCAGAAAGAGTGGGAGACACAGAATCTGAAGCAGGCTCCAGGTTCTGAGCTAGCTGTCAGCACAGAGCCTGACGCGGGGCTCGAACCCATGAACTGTGAGATCATGACCTGAACCAAAGTCGGGCGCTCAACCGACTGAGCCACTCAGGTGCCCCATTAGCTTCTTGTTTGAGCCCCTTGATGATACCCTTTCCAACACGGATACAACTTAATATTTATCTTTATAAAAATTCCAATAACCAGGTTTCATTCTTACTCTTTCCTCTCTTGCTAGGAGCTTTCTATTCAATTAGCCAATGTCTCAATATTATAGTGCCATTAAGATAATGCGGCAATAAACCTTTGTGTTCAAAATGAATGGAAAGATACAACAACCATATCCACGAGGACACATTTCAGGGACAGTTAGTTTTGGGAGGGGGCAATTCAATTGGCCTTGGACTTTGCCAGATCCAATTAGATTGTGCCAACAGACACGTTACTGGTACAACAACTAAAGTCTGTTTGGCTACAAGACAACCCATGACTGTTAAGAGTAAGAGACACAACAAGCTCACCTCACATGTGAAATGTAGACGCTGATTGAGAGGTGGCACTGACTATCCTACCATTCCGCCCAGAAAGCTGCTGCCAGTTTTCGATTAACACATATACTATTAGATATCACCACAGAATGTCTCATTTTAATTCAACTTTACACTGCAAAGGTGTAACAATATTCTAAGTTGTATAAGTTGTCCATGCAATGTGTTCTCCTCCTCAGTCTGTGATATTAAGCCGTTTAAGCACATCAAGCAATAAAGAATTCAAAAAGATCTGATTTTAATTTATAAACTGTCAAACATGCTATTAGGTTACTTCTGCTTTAACCTGAAATGGGTATAAAGAAAACTAGATTGCATTAAAATGTAGGATATGGGAGTCAGATATCTTGTCTGTACTGTATGCTTTAATGCCGGAGAGAGACTCACAAAACCAGGAAGCTACCCATCTCTGACTTGTGTTTTGGGAACACACAGCAAAATACTGGGGAGATTTTTGAATCTGTGTTCACCGAGGCTCCAAAGGGAATTACTCATTGAAGAAGACCCCAAAAGCAAAGATACAGAAATACGTGCAAAACTGTATTTGGTAAGAAAATATTCACCTACATGTTTAGTTCAAAAGAGAAAACTAAATCATTTTAGAATACGTCCTGCACCCGGGCGAGGCGCTACAACCAGATTGTATAGTTTGATTGTTGTACTAAAAACAAAAAACATTATCATCACCGCCATCACCATCATCATAACCACCATCATTGTCGTCAACAACAAGGACCACAAAGCTTATCTAAAATAGAGGAAACTGGGACATGTGGGGGGCTCAGTCACTTAAGCATCTGAATCTTGGTTTCAGCTCAGGTCATGATCTCACAGTGCATGAGTTCAAGCCCTGCATCAGGCTCTCTGCTGACAGTACAGGGCCTGCTTGGGATTCTCTGTCTCCCTCTCTTCCTGCTCCTTTCCTGCTCATGCTCCCCCCCGCTCGAAATAAATAAATAAACTTAAAAAAATTAAAAATAAGTAAAATGGAGAAAACAAAGAAAGAAGGTAGAGGACTGGGTATGTCTAGTAGGGCTATGGTTACCAATGCATGTGGATGAGGTATGGGCAGAGTCCACAAGATTTATCAAAAGATCCCCCACAAAGACCTACTCCCGCTACTAATTTGGGGACAAACAGCATAGAACTCAGAGTAAATGTCCCTAGAAAGTGTTGAGCAAGAAAATGGAAAGATACAAAGGTAAAATGATTTGTCATGGTTGCTTCCAGTCAAGATTGAGTCTATAATTTTAGAAATCGCTACAGAGTTCTAATGCTCCCGTGCCAGGCTCTATGTTTGGTTCTTCATGTTCATATGCTCATTCAACTCTCAAAACCCAGACAGGTAGGTGCTGTGTTGTTAGTTATTGGTAAACTGCCCAAGTTCACACAACTAGCAATGGGCATTGGGGCGGGAGGGGTTAGGTCCTGAATCTGGACCATTTGACCACAGAGCATAGGCACTGACCATTGAAAATAGATAAAAACAAACACACACACACACTGGGCTACAAAAGAATAATTGATTCTGTGTTAACCATATTCAAGAATAAAAGTTCGCGTTCCGGACAATGCTTTAGAAACCAAAGTGGGGAGGGGCGCCTGGGTGGCTTAGTCGGTTAAGCGTCCGACTTTCGCTTAGGTCATGATCTTGCAGTTTGTGGGTTCGAGCCCCACATCGGGCTCTGTGCTGACTGCCAGCTCAGAGCCTGGAGCCTGTTTCAGTCTGTGACTCCCTCTCTGTCTGACCCTCCCCTGCTCACGCTGTCTCTCTCTCTCTCTCTCTTTCCTAGAAATAAATAAAAAAACATTTAAAAAAAAAAAAAAAGAAACCAAAGTGGGGAGTAGGTTTACTCAGAAAGACAAATGCCCAGGTGAGATTCACCCTGCAGCTGTCAGGGACATCAGGAGGCACACAGAGAAGAAAAAACAGGAAGTTAACGGGCCAACAGTCCAAGGGCTTATTAAGCACGATTACTGCTGGGAGGCGTTTGCCCAGCTCCAGAGATGATATTTCAGATAGCACCGCCACAGCCCCAGAGAGCCCGGGAGTGACTGTGAGGGCGTCCACGCCACGGTCACAGTCAGCCCCACGGGACCACCTCACTCAGAGGTGGTGTTTCTGGCAAACACCACACACACTGGCCCACAGCCTCCTCTTTCCACTGAGAACCTCCAAAATCTTCCAAACTGCCCTGAAACAATTCTACGATAGGGTGACGAAGCCCATTTTAGACAGAAATGTTCAAATGCATTTTTTTCCCGCTGAGAAAATGGGGGAGAATTTGTGTTTAGTGTGTAGTAGATGCCGTTCTCTAACCCACCACACACTGTAGGTCAATTTCGTCAGGGAGCTAAGTGACATTCGGAAACATATCCTGCAGATCTGCTGTGATCCTTCAGGATGCTGATGGGTCCCTGACTGTGTGACCTACTGTAAAATCAGGAAGCTCCGTTTCCTGGAAAGAGGAGCCTTTTGAAACTCAGCCAGCATCCTGTTCCCTTTCCAAAGACAATAAAAAAGCAGGAATAATTGTCAGACAGACAGCCAAATATCTCTCTCATTTGGAGATATAAATCTGGAGGTAAGGGAGGTTTGAATCTCACCAGGCACTACAGTAAGATGCATATTGTTCCCTTCCCATTATTTAAGTTCTGTCTCTCGTTAAAATGCAATTCATCACAAACTAGTAATCTGTCACTCCTGAGTGAACCGAACAAGTCATAAATCAGGCACTGCCTTCTTGTCTACAATGAATGTGAGTGCGTGAAAGGGAGATCTGAGTGGTTCTTTATTCTTTATTGTCATTAGAGATATACATGAATAACAGGTGTGCTGCTCATTCAGAAAAAAACAGACATGAGTGTATGTCAGCTTACTATAAATATATGCAGAGAGACGCTGTTTTTCCTCATGTTTGTAAAACATATTATTTTACAAAATATGTCACGTCCTAAGAGTAGATATGTTTCATCATATCAGAACTCTTATTTTCTACATTTACTTATAGGTGGCCATG